TCACCTTTGCAGCATCTCTTGTCAATTTCACCTGTGCAGTATCTCTGGTCAATCAGCATCTCTCATCAGTTTCTCCTGTGTAGCATCTCTTGTCAGTTTCACCTTTGCAGTATCTCTTGTCAGTTTCACCTGTGTAGCATCTCTCTAACATACCCCCTTCTCTCCGCTGACACTGCCCTCACTCTGGTGCAGGCCTTTATCACCTCACATCTGGATTATTGTAACAGCTGCTAGAGGGTCTACCTGCCTCCCTCGAGTGTCTTCCCACTCCAATTCTGTAATCCAATGAAAATTCTGAGAAGGGTATGTTGACTTCTCTCTGGAAAGATGTGATGAGTATGGGGGCCCAGTGTTTAGACATTAAGGAAACCTTCAGGGAGAGAAATAGCACCTAAGGTGAGCCTTGAAGTATGCAAAGAATTTAAACAGGTGAGGCCTCAATGATGTAGTGGAAAGAGTGCTGAATTTGGAATCAGGAGACCTAGGTATGGATCCCAGCTCTGCCCCTTACTGGCTCCAGTGTGAGCCCCAGCTTCCTCATCTGTAAAAGAAGGATAATAACACCATCTGTACCCTACCTCCCAGGGTTGTGAAAAGTGCTTTGTTAAAATGTAAGTTCATTAGAATCTCAGTAACAGGTAGAGATGGTTGCGGGGAGGAGGGGATGGGTTGGCATTTCAGGTCTGGGGGATGGCCATGAGATCATTCTCTCATCTGTGGTCCATAACTTTCTGTCTTTCTAAACCCTCTTTCTGTGGATCCCACAGGTGACTTGCCCCAACATCTTCAAGTAATGATCAACCTTCTTCGCTGTGAAGATAGAATCAAACTGGTAAGAAGACATAATTGAGTGGCAAGCAGAGGTCCCAGATTGGCAGGGGTTGGGCCGGGTCCCTGTAGCTGATCCCGGAGGGGATGTTGGTCTGAGCCATTGAGGGACACAAGCCTTAAGCCATAGAGAGATTTCCCATCACAAAAACTGATCACTTGTCATTTGGGTCCATTTCTTTTGCTAAACTGTTTTCTTTTCTTCTTTGCTATAAGGAAAATCTCACTGGGGAAGTGGGAGAAGGGTTGTACACAAATGGCTGAAGTGGAAACAAAAAGATATCAAATAACAATTAAATTAAATTAAATTAAAGGCTGGTCAAAGTGGGAATTTACCCATTTTGATGGGAAAGGAGCTGAAATGAATGGATGGATAGCATAGATGGATGGATAGACAGATGGTCAAATAAGATGGATGGATGGATAGATGGATAAGATGGCTGGCTAGTTGGATGAGTGGGTGGATGGTTGAAATAGCATTTACTAATGACTTACTATGTATTAAGCATATTGTTAAATGCTGTGATTTCAAACAGGAAAAAAAAAAACCAAACATTCCCTGTTCTCAAGATGCTCATATTCTAACTGAGAGAGATCAACACATAAGGGAAGTTCTGATGGAAGAAAGATGGCAAGATCCCATGGTCCTGATTAAGCTTCCATGAGGTGGATAGCAGGACCCAGGAATTCTTTGTGTATGTTGGGATTCCTGCTCTGCCGAATAGGAAACCTAAAGGAGATTGGCCTGCCATTTTGGGAAAGGAAGAGTGGGCCCAGGATTTGGAGTAGAGCAAGGATTCTGGGGTCCTTCTGACAGTGATAAGGAATGTGGATATCAATGTCCAACCAGAAGGGAACGGGAGAATTGACAGGAAGTTTTGAGATGGGGTCTTGGAAGTCTGGGGAAGTGAGAGGACAGTGCTGCTTGATGCCAAACTCTAGTTAGGGCCTTCCAGGTGCCCCTGTATGAGTTCTAGAATAGCTTAGGGCAGAGAAAGAGGAAAGGAACCTCAATGATATCATCTTGAGCACTTTTACATGAAGACCCAGTAGTAACTGTTGAAAGAACATGTTGACTCTACTGAGAGTGATACAGAATAAACTGGACCTGAGATCATAGAACCTAAGAAATGAGAGAGGCCTTAGAAAAGAGAGTGTCAGAGCTGGGAAGGGCCTTAGAACAGAGAATATTAGAGCTGGGAGGGACCTCAGAACAGGGAACTGGGAGGCAGAGAATTTTGTGATTGAAAGGAATCTTAGAAGTTATGTACTCCAGAATTTTCCAAATTGTTTTCCTTGGAACTCAGGTGTTTTGCTTTGTGAAGAAATTTAGACATTAGCATTATTTTCCTAACTAAAATGCTCAATTTGAAATTTTATCTGTACCATTCAGCATTGTTGCCATATTTCTCCCCTTACCAAAGATATCACATGTTGGCTGACTAAGATGGTTTTTATGCTGTTTTATTTGCTTCATTGTTTACTTCTGTTAAACTTTTATATACTGTTGTGTCAGTGTCCTTTCCTTTATCCATTTCCCATTTTTTGTCACCAGTAATTTGTTTAAATAGGTCAGGGTACAGTCACTTTAAAGGAATGCCATAAAGTAGGCTTAGCTTACAATTTTTTGGTCTCAAACTTGCCTAACCCCTTTAATTTATGCTTTCAAGGCATCCTAGACCACTATTTATCAGACTGCTAGGTAGCTCACTGAATAAAACACTGGTCCTGGGGTCAGGAAGACCTATGTTCAAATCCCAGTTCAGAAACTTACTAGTCGTGTGACCCTGCATAATTCATTTAACTTCTGTCTACCTCAGTTTCCTCATCTGTAAAATGGGGATAATAATAATAGCACTTACCTCCCAGGATTGTTGTGAGAATCAAATGAGATTATCTTTGTTAAGTACTTAGCACAGTGCCTAGCACAAGATACATGCTCAATAAATGCTTGTTCCCTTTCCCCTTTCCCTCCTTCCATCAGTTTACTTTAAGTATAAAAATGTTTGGTGGCCAAATTATTCTGGGAAACGTTGCTCTGATCCAAATTTCTTTATTTTATAGGTGGGTAAACTGAGGGCCAAAGAGTGAAAAGTGAATCACCCAAGTTTAGATAAGGTGTTCGTAGCAGAGCCAAGTCTGCATCCCAGGACTCCTGACTCCGTCTTTATTTCTTTCTAATTGTTAGACTGTATCAGTTATAATCTCCACTCTTTAAATTGCATGTGAATTTCCAATTTACAAATCTATGAAAGGAAAAAAGGAGAGAAACAAAGCCAAGTTTGTCCATTTTCCCCAAGGGCCTAAGCAAGGAACTTTGCTTATTCTGGAGAGCTGAATAATGGTGGGGGGTGGATGGATGGATGGATGGGTGGATGGGTGGATGGAAGGAAGGGTGGATGGATGGATGGATGGATGGATAGGGGATGGATTGGTGGATAGATGGATGAATAGAAAAGTGGATGGATGGATGGATAGATAGATGGATGGGTAGATAAATAAATGAATTTTCCTCATTCCATATGATAGCATTTTACAGAAGGAAATGACATCCCCTAGTTCTTAGTGATTCCCTACTCCTTAAATAATTATGTCTGTATTTATAGGATGGGAGACCTAGAACTGGACAGGAACTCAGAGGTTATGTAGTACAAATCTCTCATTTTGCAGATGAGGGAAACTGAGGCCTAGGGACATTAAATGAGTTACTCAAGAGTCACGCAGTTAATAGATGTAAAAGGCACGATTTGAACCCTAGTTAGGAGCAGTGGCTTTTCCCAGCAAACCATATTGTTTCCTTTCTTATCTTATTCATTTTATGCCTTCCTGCTAGGGTGTAAGATTCTCGAGGGCAGCGATTGCTTTGGTTATGTCTTGGTGTCCCCAGCCCCTAAAATAGTCAGCATCTAATAAATTCTAATTAAATTGAATGTTGTATATTGTAGACTCTAGTAAAATGTAAGCTCCCAGAGAGCAGGGATTTTCTTCCTTTTGTCCATGTATCTGCAGCTCCTAGCAAAGCGCTTGGCTTAGTAAATATTTACTGGATTGGTTTGCTTCGTATCTCAGACCTCTCCAAAAGACATAACCCCATCATTGCTTCCTTGCAGGCAGTGCGCCTAGAGAGCGCGTGGACGGACCGCGTCAGGTACATGGTGGTGGTGTACAGCAGCGGGCGACAGGACACGGAAGAGAACGTCCTGCTGGGAGTGGACTTTTCCAGCAAGGAGAGGTGTGTTTGATTGGAGGTGGTGGGGAACAGGCGGATTGGAGGGGAGAATGCGAAAGCAAGGTTTGTTTTGAGTATTTTTAGCAGGAGCTCTTAACCCCCAAGAATTCCATGGACAGCTTCCAGGAAGTCCATGAATTTTGGGTTGTTTTTTAAAATATTTTGACAAGGGGCAGCTAGGTGGCGCAGTGGATAGAGCACCGGCCCTGAAGTCAGGAGGACCTGAGTTCAAATCCGGCCTCAAACCAAACACTTGACACTTACTAGCTGTTGTGACCCTGGGCAAGTCACTTAACCCCAATTGCCTAAAAAAAGAAAAAAAAAAAGTTTTGACATCTACATTTCAATAGGATTGGCTTCCTTTTACAATCCTATGCATTATATATTATGTATTTTAAAATATCATGGAGAAGGGGTCCATAGGCTTCATCCGACAGGGGCCAAGGGGTTCAGAACACACCAAAAACATGCGTGGATGGGTCAGTGACCCGGGATCATTGAGGAGGTAACCAAGGATGGGACCTGGGCAGCCTCATTCCAGTGCTTCATGTTTGGAAGGGATGCAGCTGAACAAGAGTCTCCTCCAGGGTGCCCCCCTCACCCCAAGAAGTGATCCACCAGTCTCTATTTGAAGATCATAGTTTTAGAGATGGAAGGAACTTCAGAGGCTCAACTCATCCAGGGGTGGAGAACCTTCGACCTCGAGGCCACATGTGGCCCTCTAGGTCCTCAGGTGCGGCCTATTGACTGAGTCCAAGTTTTACTGAACAAATCTTTTTATTAAGGGGATTTATTCTATTAAGTTTAGACTCAGTCAAAGGGCTGCCCTTGAGGACCTAGAAGGCCATGTGTGCCTTGAGGCCACAGTTTTCTCACCCCTGATCTAGTCTAACCCTCTCATTTTATACATGAGGAAATCAAGGCTGAGTACGTGCAAAGTAGATACAAGGTAATTTTGGAGCAATCTGGAAAGGTGTCACGTATGAGATAACTTAGGACCTGAGCTTTAACACTGAGCCCAGCAGAACAAGGAGGGCATCTATTTCAGGCATGGGGTGCATCCAGAGATGGGAGATAGAATGTGGGCTGTGAGGACAAGGTCAGGTTGGTTGGCCATACAACAGGTGAAGGGGAATAATGGTAAATGAGGCAGCTAGAGGACTTCGTAGTACACAGAGTGCTGGGCCTAGAGTCAGGAAGACCTGAGTTCAAATCCAACCTCAAATGCTAGCTGTGTGACCATGGGCAAGTCATTTAACCTCTGTTTGCCTCAGTTTCCTCACCTATAAAATGGGGATCATAAGAGCATCTACCTCCCCGGGATATTATGAGGATCAAATGAGATAATTATAAAGCATTTAGTACAGTGCCTGGCACATAGTAAATGTTACTTGTAAGTGTTATTGTTGGTCAGTCATTTTTAAGTTGTGTCCGACTTGTCATGACCCCATTTGGGGTTTTCTGGGCAAAAATATTGGAGTGGTTTACCATTTCTTTCTCCAGTTCATTTGACAGATGAGGAAGCTGAGGCAAGCAGAGTGACGTGACTTGCCCAGGGACACACAGCTAGTAAGTGTCTGAGGCTGGATTTGAACTCATGAAGATGTGTCTCTTATCGATTCCAAACCCAGTGCTCTGTGCACTATGGCGCCACCTAGCTGCCAGATGTGAATGTTAGCTATTACTATTGTTGTTAGCTAATGAGGATGCAAAGGTAAGTCGCAGCCAGATATGCCTGGTGGAAGAGGCTGTGGTAATAAGGAGCCTCTGGAGTTTACTGAGCCAGGCAGTGACAAAATCAGATGTGTGTTTGAGCAATATCCCTGTGGCAGCTGGCCGGAGACCCTTTGGGATTTTGGGAGGGGAGAAATGAATTTGGGAAATTTTCACTTACATCATGCCTATATCTGTCTCATGACTTCCTCCCATTGTTACTTTTTTCCTCCAGCCAGGCAGGACAAAGCTAATCTCTCCTATGTTTTGTTCTCGTTCAGTTGTGTCTGACTCTTAGTGACCCCATGTGGGGTTTTCTTGGCGGAGATACTGGAGTGGTTTGCCATTTCCTTCTCCAGCTCATCTGACAGATGAGGAAACTGAGGCAAACAGGGTGAAGTGACTTGCCCAGGGTCGCACAGCTAGTAAGTGTTTAAGGCCAGATTTGAACCCAGGAAGAAGAATCTTCCTGACTCCAGACCCAGTGGTCTACCTACTGTGCCACCTAGCTGCCCTTTAGCTAATCCCTCTAAACATCTCTTTAAAAACTGCATTTGGAGTCAGAGGACCTGTGTTCCAATCCTGGCTCTGCTATCCCTTTGAATAAATCATGGTGCCTCAGTTTCTTCAACTATAAAAGGAGAGTTGGATTTAATGACCCTGGGTCCCTTCTTGCTCCAGATCCGGGATCCCTTGGATTCTTCTCTTATTTCTCTCCCCCACATGCTCAGTTCCTTTGATCTTTGAGTGGAATGGATTCTAATCCTCCTGCCTTTTGGGGAGGCAGTGTGGGTATAGTGCATAGAGACCTGAAGTTGAAATGAGACCTGAGTTCAGATCTCATCTGCCATTTACCACCTGTCTGACCTTGATACATCCCTTCTCAATTTCCTCATCTGTAAAATAATAATAATAATAATAATAAAGTACAATAATAATTAATTAATCATATAATAACTTTCCACCAGGACTGTTGTAAGGATCACATGGGGTGTAAGATACTTTGAGTTTGACTGTGAAGATCACAGGACTTAGAACTGAAAAGGGCAGATCTCTTAGCCTCTTTCCAGCCTCAGTTTCTCCTCTGTAAAATGAGGGGTTTGGATTCTCATCTCTGAGCTCCCTAGTCTTAACCCTAGTGAAAGGGATGGGGGGAGGGGGAACACTGTTGAATAAAGCTGGAAAGAAAGCCAGTTTTCTAAGGCCTCCTCTGAACTCTGACCCACCTGGATTTGAACCCCAGGTTGGCCACTGTGTGACCGTGGGCAGGCCACAGACACATGACCCTCTCTGGACCTCAGTTTCCTCACTTGTAAAAGGAGAGGAGTTGGGCCTCTCCTAAGCCGCCTCTAGCTTGGCTCTAAATGCTGTGATTTTATTGATCTCCTGACCCTTCAGGATGTTGAGGGTGAAGTGCCGTCTCCCAGCTGAGAGTGTCTGGTTGCCTCGGACTCCAGCTGTGGCAGGCAGGGAGTCGCTGGGAGGCCAAGCTCCTTGGCAGGTAGCTGGGAGCCAGATTTCAGTTTCACTAGGCCCCAGGGCACCTTCTCTGTGCTGGTGGAAAGTGATTCTCTGGGGAGCCCATTAGAAGGTAACCAGGATGGAGGACCCAGAGGCCCACGGGATGGCAGCGCCGCTCCCTGGCATGGCCACAACACTCTCTTAGAAGACTAGTTTTTCCACACCCAAACAATTTTCATCATCATCGGAGGAGGCTTGATGATTTAGGAAACAGCAGCAAAAATAACAAAAAGCCCCCGGGTGACACCGGACCCTGCCATGTCTGGGTTTTATTTCCTCATAGGCCAGGAGACTCCTTATGGGACAGCAAAACAAAACCAGTCTGGGCTGGGGTTTTTAAAAATGCGTACCTGAAAGGTAGGAGAGCTGAAGTGTCCAAACAGGGCACCAGGTTCCTGAGCAGGGCCAGGCTGTGTGCCAAGGGGCCCTGCTCAGGCTGCTGGACCCTGTGGTGCTTAACCTGATGTAGGACACCTCCTGAAACTGGAGCCTGGGGACACGACTGGCATGGCCTGAACTGCCTCTGTCCAGGGTTTTCAGAGTGCCGGCCTTTGGGCACAGAACAGTCATCTCAGTTCAGGGTCTCTGAGCTGGGGGGAAGGGAAGGAAATAAGCATTTATGTGGCACCTACTATGTACCAGGCACTGTGCTAAGCATTTTTTTTTTACAGATATTATCTCCTTGGATCCTTACATCCCTGGAAAGTAGGTGCTATTGTAATCTTGATTTTATATATAGGAAACAGACAAACAGAGGTTAAATGACTTGCCCAAGGTCACGGAGCTAATACATGTCTAAGATTGGATTTGAACTCAGGACTTCCTGATTCCCAGGTCCGTTGCTGTAGCCACTGTGCCACCATAATGTGTAAGGGACCTTGGAACAGGGAGTGTCAGGGCTGGGCGGGGCCTTAGAACAAGGACAGTTCTGACTTGGGTTCAAATCCTGTCTCTGACACTTCCTAGCTCTGTGATCAGAGGCATATTATTTAATCCTCCTGAGCCTCAGTTTCCTCATCTGTAAAATGAAGGGGTTGGACTTGGCCCCTGAGGGCCCTTTCATCTCTAAATTTAGGATCTTAACAATGAGATTACTTTAATCTATCCATAAGTCCGCAAGCATTTATTAAACTCCTCCTGTATGCCAGGTACCAGGTTTGTTGCTGGAGAAACAAAAACAAAAGTGAAGCAGTTCCTGCCCTCAGGTTGCTTACATTGTCTCATGGGATTCAACGTACACACATATAAACATATGCATAAAATACTTGAAAGAAATACCAGGGGGGTTTTTTAGCCTGGCTGCACCAGCAGCTATGAGCAATTATGAAAGCCCTTATGTAGAAGGTGAAGTTGGAGCTAAGCTTTGAAGGAAACTGGGGATTGTAAGAAGAGATGAGGAGGAAGTGCATTCCAGGCAGGGGGGACTGCCTGGGCAATAGCCCAGTGGTGGGAGATGAGCTGCTGTGTGTGAAGAGCAACAAGAAAGCTCCTTCTTCTGGACTGTTTTTTGTTCAATCATTTTTCAGTCATGTTGATTCTTTGTGACCCCATTTGGGGTTTTCGTGGCAGAGAGACTGGAGTGGTTTGCCATTTCCTTCTCCAGCTCATTTGACAGATGAGGAAACTGAGGCAAACAGAGTGAAGTGATTTCCCAGGGTCACACAGCTAGGAAGCGTCTAGGGCTGGATTTGAATTCAGAAAGAGGAATCTTCTGACTCCATCTCTGTCCACTGTGCCGCCTAGCTGCCCCTTCTGGACTGTAAAGAGAAGTAATTTAATAAGCCTGGAAATGCGCGCTGCAGCCAGGTTGTACAGGGCTTTACAGGCCGAACAGAAAATCGCGTATTTCACCCTAGAGGTAATAGGGAGCCATCTGAGTTTATTGAGTAAGGTGGTGACATCACCAGACTAGGGCTTTGGGAAAGTCACTTTGGCAACTGTGGAGGATACCTTTGAGAGCGGTGAGTTTTAAGACCAATTAGGGGACTGTTCCAATTAGGCTCCGACTTGGGTTGGTAGCTCTCTGTGATTAGAGAAAGGGACGCGCATGAGAGATGTTGTCAAGACAGAACCAACCTGACTTAGCACTGATTGTTTAGGCAGGTGACTGAGAGGGAAGAGGTGAGAGTGTGAGCCTGGGTGACCAGAAGGTGGTCGGACCGTCCACAGAAATGGGAACCGAATGTAGAGCCTATGTCAGATTGTGCGCCGTCTTGGGGAGGGAAATGGAGAGGGAGAGGGAGAAAAATTTAAATCTCAAAAGCTTATGGAAGTGATTGTTGATAAATCAAAATAAATTAATAATAATTAAAAAAAAGAAATGGGAACCAAGGGGCTGCTGTGGACAGAAAGATAAGGAGTTCCAGCTTGGACATGTGGAATATGGGGACATTTTCACTTGGAAATGTCTAATCTGTGTTTGGAGCTCTGCGGAGGGTTGGATGTGGAATCTGGGCATCGTGTAGAGATGATAATGGGAGTGAGATGAAATCACCAAGTGAGAGGGTATAGAGAGAGAAGAAAGGAGATGAGGGCAAGGGAGGGCAGATGAGGGGAAAGGGGAGGAGAGGAGAGGAGAGATTGGCCTCTACAGTAGAGGTGGCAAACTCCTGTGGGCCACAACACTCGCTGTGATTGGTAAATATTTGACAAAAGAAATAAAAATGCAATAGAACACAGATAATGTTAACATGTGGTTTTCTAGGCAGATATATAGCTGGCAGGGACCTCATGTAGGGCTTCTTTCCCCTTCTCCCCATTTCTATTTGATTTTGACCCCACTTCTTTAGGGCACAGAAATTTCAGATCTAGGAGGTGCAGTAGAAACAGTTTACACTTTATTTCGACCGTCTCATCTTGACGAGGCACCCGCCCAGAGTCGGTGCTGACTTGCTTTAACTGCACTGGGTATAATAAAGTCCTTTGTCACAGGCCCCTGTTTCTTTCCAGCCCTCGAAGCGGGGTATCTGTCACAAAGCCCCCTTATGGCTTTGGTATGGTAGCCTCCACAGGGGGAGGGACCTCAGACATATTCAGTCCAACCCATGCCCGGACAAAGCGTCCCACAGATGGCCATCCTGACTCTGCTTAGAAACCTCCAGCTTGGGCCAACCTCCAAGGCAGCCCGTCCCTCTTGGAAAGCTTCCATCAAGCCTAAGTTGGACTCCTTGGTGCTCCTCTGGGGCTGAACCCTTCTTCCCTGGAATAGCCCTTGACATCAAAGGGAGAGCTTGGCCCTGTGGAAGGAAGGCAGGATTGAAAGTCCCAGAATTAAAAAAAAAAAAGAAAAAGAAAGTCCCAGGATTACAGGTCTAGGAGGCCAAGTCACTATAAAGGTGAGGAAACTGAGGCACAGGGAAGTCCAGTGACTTTCCCACGGTCACATAGGTGGTAAGGGTCAGATGTCAGATCTTCAACCTCCAGAGCCATTTCCTAGCTGTGCCACATACTGTCTGTACGTTCTAGGGTAAGTCACCTTAATTCTCTGGGTCTCAGTTTTATTTTCTAGAAAATGATAGGGTTGGATTAGATGACCTCTAAGGTCCCTTTCCATTCTATATCTGTGATATTATGACTTCTCTGGGCCTCAGTTTTCTCTCCTGGATAATGGACCTCTAAAGTCCCTTTCAGTTCTAAACCTATGATCTTTTATCTTCTCTAGGCCTCAGTTTCCTTTGATGTAAAATGGGGGTGGGAATAATAAATGGTCCGTGAGGTACCTTCTACTTCTTGGTCTGGTTCTTGGCCTTTCCCTTGATGATTCCATCCTGAGTCATTGGAACGGTTGAGTGTTTTATTCTTTTTCTGATATGAGCGTGGAGGGCTGGTTGGGGGGCTGGGGCATAGCAATGGTGCCAGGGCATGAGACCCTCTGTAAGCTCTTGTCTACCTCCTCTTCCCCACAGCACGAGCTGCACCATCGGGATGGTCCTTCGTCTGTGGAGTGACACCAAGATACACCTCGATGGAGATGGGTGAGTGGGGCTGAAAATGGCTCCTTTGAGGAGGGGGCTGGAGGAAGACCCCGTCACCTCTCATTCCATCTCCTGCAGGGAGGTATCGGTCACAAAGCCCCTCGTGGCATGGGAATTATAGCCTGCATGGTGGAAGGGACCTCAGCCATATTCAGTCCGACCCATCCCTGCACAAGGTGTCCCGTAAATGGCCATACTGCCTCCGATGAAAGGCCTCCAGCTTGGGGCAGCCCACCACCAGCCGTGGCAATGAATGATGGGCACAGACGTGTTGAGGGGGGTGAGCCAGGGTTCCATCTTGGACCCTTATGGAAGGGGCTGCAGTTAGTGAAGACCTTCATTAGGAAATAGAGCCTAAAGGCACAGCCTGGTGAGTTTTCAGAACGAGACTGTTTTTGAAGGGAGGAAGGGAAAGAGGGCGAGTAGAATCACAGCATGTTAGGATTAGAAGGAACCTTGGAAGGGCTGGCATAGAGCCTCAGAGCCCAGAGGGGCCTTAGAACAGGAGATGTCAGGACTGGGAGGGGCCTTCGAGCAGGGATGTCAGAGCTGGGAGGGGCCTGAGAACAGAGGATGTCAGAGCTGGGAGGGGGCTTAGAACAAGGAATGTCAGAGCTGGTGGGGGCCTCAGAACAGGGAATGTCAGAGCTGGGAGGGGCTTAGGACAGGGGATGTCAGGGCTGGGAGGGGCTTAGAACAGGGGATGTTAGAGCTGCTGTTCTGCTCTACTACTCTGTAGTTCTGTCCATTCCCAGAGCACTAGAGGGCTCTCCCTTGTGGCCACGCCTCTGGCATTGCCCCAGCCCAGCATCAGACAGGTGTTGCCCCATCCCAATCCCAGCCTGTTTGTTTAGGGAGTGTGATTTCTCACATATAGCAAGTTTATTTTTTCTTTCTTTTTCTCAGTGGATTCAGCGTGAGCACAGCAGGAAGAATGCATGTCTTTAAGCCGGTGTCTGTCCAGGCCATGTGGTAAGTGTCAATGCACATTCTCATGGGCTGATGGCAGAAACGGGGGAAGAAGCATCATTTACCACCCTCAGCCGCATCCCCATAGGCTGCCTTAGCTCTCCTGGGTGGACATCGATGGACAGGGTGTCAGTCAGCAAGCTAGACTTTGCTCAGTGGTTTTTATTTAGTGCCTGTTAGAGGCTTTCCTTTTCAGGTACCCAGCGGCATCCTATAAGAAGTGAGCTGGGAGGGACCTTAGAACAGGGAATGTCAGGGCTGGGAGGGGCCTTAGAACAGGGAATTTCAGGGCTGGGAGGGGCCTTAGAACAGGGAATGTCAGGGCTGGGAGGGGCCTTAGAACAGGGGATGTCAGGGCTGGGAGGGGCCTTAGAACAGGGGATGTCAGGGCTGGGAGGGACCTTAGAACAAGAAATGTCAGGGCTGGGAAGGGCTTTAGAACAGGGGATATCAGGGCTGGGAGGGGCCTCAGAACAGGGGATGTCAGGGCTGGGAGGGGCCTTAGAACAGGGAATATCAGGGCTGGGAGGGGCCTTACTGAATGTTATTTCTAGAAATGAACTTTTAAAGTCTGTCTAGTCTAGCCTTCATTTTCACGAAGAGAAAAGGCGGCTTGGATCAGTGAACAGATCTATGTCCTGCCTCAGACACTTACTGCAATATGAGCCTGGACAAGTCACTCCACGCTGTCAAGCTCAGTTTCCTCATCTGTACAATGAAACAGATTAGATGGCTTTTGAGGTCTTTTTTTAGCTCTATATCTATGATCCAGTTAAAGAGAGACCCTCAGGAAGGAGGGAGTGTTCCAAAGTCATATGGATACTTGAATCCACCTTCAGAGGGTACACAGGCCCACATGTGGCCGCAGAGGATCATATGGCTATGTCCGGGAGATCCATCCCATTTCTGTCCCTACTCCAATGTCACATTCTTGTGTTCTTAGTATCATATTCAACACACCCACTTGGGAAGTTCCAGGTGCTAAGGTTTCTGAACCTCCCTGCATATGTAAGACCAAAGTGACCAAATCAGCCCTTTAGCTTTTCGGCGTGGTTCTGCCTCCCCAGACGCCAGCCTGCGTCCCTCTGGGGCTTGCTCACGTTGGCCTAAGAGTGGAAGCAGGCTTAGGTTAGGAATCCATCATGGCGACCCTGTTGTGGTTAATGTGTTCATGATAATGGCAACTCCAGAAGTCACTCTGACTCATGGAGTTTTTCTGAGGTAAACTGTGGCATGAAAAAAGAGAAAAAAATCATAGGTCAGGATCCTGTTCTGAGAGACAGTTTGCTGATCTATCAGATGAGAATAACATACCTATTTCACAGGGCTATGGATGGGAAGCTTGAAGTGTGTTAGAAATATAAAGCTGGATTCAAGTGGGATGGGGCTGTCCCACTGCATTCTGGGACATGGGGTCAGCGTAGTGCAGGGGCAAGTGCCTTGGGTTTGGAGCCAAAGCACCTGGGGCTAAGACGGGGCCAGTCTGCTGTTTACTACCTCGAGGACATTGGGCAAGTGATTACCCTATTTGGGCAATGACGGAGTTGGGCCAGATGGCTTCTAAGGTCCCTTGCAGCTGTCAGCCTATGCTCCTATAATCCTAAATCACTTTGAATCCTGTGGGCCTCAGTTTCCTCCTCTGTAAAGTGAGCTGAAGAAGGAAATAGCAAACCAGTCCAGTCTCTTTGCCAAGAAAACCCCAAATGGAGTCACAATTGAGCAAGAGCTGACCAGCAGCCGAAGCTCCATGAAGGGAGGGATGGTATCATGTTTATCTTTGCATCCCCAGTGCTTAACACAAAGCATTGCACATAATTGGTTCTTTATTTTATTTTTTGCAAGGCAATCGTGGTTCAGTGACTTGTCCAGGGTCACACAGCTAGTAAGTGTCAAGTGTCTGGGGCTGAATTTGAACTCAGGTCCTCCTGACTCCAGGGCCAGTGCTCTATCCACCACGCCATCTAGCTGCCCTGACATAATCGGTTCTTAATAAATGTTTCTTGGGCTGAATTAAATTGAAAGAAGCCAAATCTCCATCGCTCGCCCATCTTTCCTGCCTGGAGAAGGATACACCCAGAAGCCCTTGCCCATTGCCAGGTCTCATCTTCCATCTTTCCCCACCTGCAGGTCTGCCCTCCAGATTCTGCACAAGGCTTGTGAGGTGGCCCGGAGATACAACTACTTCCCTGGAGGCATGGCCCTGGTGTGGGCCACCTACTACGAGAGCTGTATTGGCTCTGATCAGAGCTGCATCAATGAGTGGAATGCTATGCAGGACCTGGAGTCCACGAGGCCTGACTCCCCTGCCCTCTTTGTGGACAAGTAGGTGCCAAGGTCTCCCCTTCTCCTCCGTCCAAGCTAACTGGGTGTCCCCACCACATCCCACATCCCTCCCTTCCCAAAAGAGGAATCCACTCTCAAGCTGGCATGGGGAATGTCGAGTTTTAGACCTAGAAAGGACCTTAGAATTTATGAAATCTGTAAGAATATCAGTCCTGGAAAGGAGCACAGAAATAGAACACAACATTAATGCTGGGAGGGGCCTTAGAACAGGGGATGTCAGGGCTGGGAAGGGCCTTAGAACAGGGGGTGTCAGGGCTGGGAGGGGCCTCAGAACAGGGAATGTCAGAGCTGGGAGGGGCCTCAGAACAGGGAATGTCAGGGCTGGGAGGGGCCTTAGAACAGGGGATGTCAGGGCTGGGAGGGGCCTTAGAACAGGGAATGTCAGACTGGGAAGGGCCTAAGAACAGGGGATGTCAGGTCTGGGAGGGGCCTCAGAACAGGAAATGTCAGGGCTGGGAGGGGCGTCAGAGCTGGGAGGGGCCTCAGAACGGGATGTCAGAGCTGGGAGTGGTCTCAGAACAGGGAATGTCGGGCTGGGAGGGGCCTCAGAACAGGGAATGTCAGAACTGGGAGTGGTCTTAGAACAGGGAATATCAGGGCTGGGAAGGGCTTTAGAACAGGGAATATCAGGGCTGGGAGGGGCCTCAGAACAGGGAATGTCAGGGCTGGGAGGGGCGTCAGAGCTGGGAGGGGCCTCAGAACAGGGGATGTCAGAGCTGGGAGTGGTCTCAGAACAGGGGATGTCAGGGCTGGGAGGGGTCTCAGAACAGGGGATGTCAGGGCTGGGAGTGGTCTTAGAACAGGGGATGTCAGGGCAGAGAAGGGTCACAAAACAGGAGATGTCAAGGCTGGAAAGACCTGTAGAACAGTGAATGTCAGCTGGAAAGATTTTTAAAAGTCACCTAGTCCTGTTTTTTCACTTTAGCAGCAGAATTGGGAAGAGTAAAGGGCAGTGATTTGGCCAGGGTCACACAGGTGGTTAGTGGCAGAGCTGAGTACAGAATCTAAGTCTTCTGCCTCTCAGGCCAGGGCTTCCCAGACACCTCACTCTCCCAGCCCTACCTGGCAGCTGCCCTCAGCCTTGTATCTCTCAGCTGCTCCGAAAGAATCTCTCCTCCTCTGATTCCATCTCCAACCTGACCCGAGAGTGGCTGGCATCTTTGATCAGGATCCCAGGGTTCTGTTTTTTTGGTTCCCCATTCAGGGCCCCTCAGCTGTTCCCCATATCTTTGAGGGACTTTCCAGAGACACAGCCTATGTTGTGACCTCTGCCCTGCTCCCTTCCTGTTAAAAAGTCCTGGCACCTCTGACCAAGGTGTTACAGGCAGGGGCCATGGGCTCTTCCAGCAGGCTTTAGTCCAATACCTGCTTCCACAGTGCCCCCCCGCCAAGATTCCTGGGATTTCCTCAGTGTTCTTTCTCCCCTAGGCCAACGGAAGGGGAAAGAACAGAGCGCCTCATCAAAGCCAAGCTCCGAAGCATCATGATGAGTCAGGACTTGGAAAATGTGACCTCCAAAGAAGTAAGAGAATGAGTGTCCCAGCTTGGGTCTCTGTGGTGCCGCACGGTTCACAAATCTCTTTCCAGTTCACAAAAGCACTTTCATCAGAAAGTGCTATCCCCATTTTACAGATGGAAAAACTGAGGCTCGGGCAGAGGATGTGACTAGCCTGGCGTCACAGGACTAGTAAATATGAGAGCTAGGTTTGTAGAAGCCCAGAACCCAGAATCCCAGAGTTGGGGAGGACCCCAAAGGCCATCCATACCTGAAGAAATCACCCCTCTAGAATAAGGGCTTGACTAGTGGTCATCCTTCATCCAAGTGGCCAGCAGCCCTTTCCCCTTTTGGACAGCTCTAGTTGTTAGGAAGTCTCTCCTGATATCAAGCCTCAGTTTGCCTCTTTTGCTTTAGTCCCACCCAGTGATCATTTATTAAGCACCTGTTGTATACCAGGCCCTGTGCTAAGTGCCAGGGATACAAAGAATGGCAGAAGACAGTTCCAGCTCTCAAGGAGCCTCCAGCTATTGGACATACAAGACATGCAGGGTGTCCGAAAAGTCTGGGTGTGAGTTTAAGCTTATTAAAGCCTAAAGCTTGGGATCTGTAAAATTCTTCTTAAAATATTCTGATAATTGTATTTCCATATCATGGTTTCCTTTCTAATACTGTGTTTTTCATTTTATACATTTGAAAACATGAGACTGAGCAGGAGTCCATGGGTTTCACTAAAATGCCAGAATGGTCTATAACCGAAAGAGTTAAGGACCCCTCATCTAATCCAGTGCTATCATTTTACAGATGAGGAAATCGAGGCACAGAGAGGTATAGGGATGACTTATAAAGAGTTTGCAGTCCAATAAAATTCCTCCAAATTTTTTTCAGGTAATCCAGCCACACCTCCCCTATCTTTTCCTTCATTCATCTTGTATCAATCCATCAATCAGTAAACATTTATCTGGCTCCAACTGTGTGCCAGGCACTGTACTAAGCCTTGGGAATACAAAAAAGAGGCAGAAGACAATCCCTGCCCTCAAGGGGCTTATAGTCTAACGGGCAGACAACAAACAAATATGTTTTGTTGTTGTTCTGTGGTTTTCAGCGCAACTTTTCATGACCCCATTTCTTGGGGGGGTTGCCATTTCCTTCTCCAGCTCATTTTAGAGACGGGGAAACTGAGGCAAACATGATTCAGTGACTTGCCCAGGGTCTTATAGCAAGTTAAATGGCTGAGGCCAGATTTTAACTCTGGAAGTCTTCCTGATTCCAGGCCTGGCGCTCTATCCACTGCACCACTTAGCTTCCCCTTCTGCCACGGACAAGCTGTATCCTGTTCATAGCTGGGAGCTGCAAAAAAAAAAAAAAAAATCAATGTAAGGAAGAACTACCTTACAATCAGAGCTAGCCGGTAGGACAGACTGCCTCTGGAGGTAATGAGCTCCTCATCACTTGAGGTCTTCAAACAAAGGTTGGATGACCACTTTTCAAAGATGTTGTCATGGGGATTCTTTTGGGAATCTGATTTGGAGAAGATGCCACTGAGTTCCCTTCCAGCTCTGAAATCTTGTGCTGGAAAAGACCTATGACCAGTCTGGTCAAGAAATTACTGAGCTTTAAAAGAAGAAAAAAAAATTTACTGAGCTATCTTACCACAGAAGCCTTGAGAAAATTTTTATTCTGGTGTTATTTTCCCCTCTAAAACAAAAAAAAAAATCACATAGGAATCCAAAAATAACAGCCTACAAAAATTTTTTTCCTGTGTGAAAACGAGTTTAATTTCCTTCAAATTTTTATATCTCCTCTTGTCCTAGACTGTATCTCACGCCTTTTGGTCCCCATGGGTGATCATTTGTGGGCTTGAGAATATATTTGAAGCCTTAAATCATACTGTGACAACATGCTTTCAGTTACTTATCTAGTGGAAATCCCCCCATTTTGCAGATGGGGAAACTGAGCCCTTCTGTCATCCAGTAAACTTGTGGCCCTCTGTGAAATGAGGGGAGTGGACAAGATGGCCTCTAGAGCTACAATCTGCTTCTTTCATCAGCTCTCATGGTTTAATTAGTATTGGTGAAGATGACTCACAGATATATCTGTACCTATCTATCTACATATATGTATATATTCACTCATGCATATGTGCATACATATATACATACCTTTCTCTCTTTCTGTCTCCTCTTCTCTCTTCCGCTCTCTACTTTCTCCCTCTTCCCCCTCCTCTCTCTCTGTCTCTGTTTCTCTCTCTGTCTGTCTGTCTCTCTCTCTCTCTGTCTCTTTCTCTTCTCCCCCACCGCCATCTCTTACCCACCCCACATCACCAGCTGTGCATTTCAGCAGCCCTTCAAACTTAGCGGGTCCACAACAGAACTCCTGGTCTTCCCCCCAGACCCTTGAATCCTCCAAACTTGTGTGTTTCTACCTATCAGAGGTGCCACCATGCTTCCAGTCGGCCAGATGCATGATGTCAACGCATACCTTACACCCTCCCTTTCTCCCCCTCCACTCCATCCCTCGTTTGCCAGATCTGGCCATTTTTGTGTCTCTCCTTTCCTTCCCTTCTCTCTACTAATAGGGCTACATAGTGTTTGACACAGCCTTTAATAAGTTTTTTTCATTCATTTTTTTATTCTAAACCTAGTGCCCTCCTTTCCTAATTGCCTTGCATTTTAATAGCCTTGAATTTATCATTTACTTTCTTTATATTTATATATAATATATTATATTTAAATATATTTCTATATAATATTTATATTATGTATAAATATCATAAATGTAATACTTGTAGTATGTAATATATTTATATTTCATCTTTGTACTTGGATCCCCTGATATAATATATAAGACTGTGAAGAGCAAGAATTGTTTCATTCATTGTCTTTGTAGCCTTTCAAAGCCTGGCATCATAGTAGACATAGAAGGCACTTAAGTGCTTTTTGATAATTCATTTATGATCAAGCATTTATTCATAATAATGATATCATAATAAGAGCTGAAATTCATAGAGCTCCTTAAGATTTGCAAAGCACTTTACAAATATTTTCTCATTTGATCATCACAGCAACCCTAGGAGGGAGATGCTATTATTATTATCCCCATTTTGCAGAGGAAGAAACTGAGACAGACAGAAGTGAAATGGCTTGCCCAGAGTTACACAGCTAATGAGTGTCTGAGGGAGGTTTATAACTCAGGTCCTCTTGACTCTAAATCTAGCCCTCAGCCAGCTACCTGCCTCCTATTATTAAGCGCTTAATTTGTATGCCAGGGCAGCTAGGTGGTACAGTAGATAGAGCACCAGGCCTGGAATCAGGAGGACTTGGTGTTTACACCTAAAAATTAATTCCCACATATAAAATGTCCACAACAGCTTATCCCTCCCTCTCTATCTACCTCTCTTTCTTTGCATTATTATAGAATACTGAGGTATCTCAGTATTATAAATCAGTATATAAAACACTGATATAGTATATACCATTATGTGTGTGTGTGTGTGTGTGTGTGTAGAGCAGATCACCTTTTTTTATATCAACACATACTCAGGGTATATTCCTAGTAACAAAGATTATTGGGTCCAAGGGTATTATTATTTTTATGACTTTTATTATACTCTGTTCAGCTCATCTTCCAAAAAGAATCTTCTAATCTGCAATTCCACCAGCATTGTATGAGTTTTCCTACTTTTCCACAACATCCCTTCCCTCCAGCATTGAGTTTGGTCACTTTTACTTATTCTTGGGAATGTAATGGATGCATAATGATACCTCTGTGTCATTTTCATTTTTATTTCTTCAACTGCTAGTGAGGTTGATCACTTACTTGGTCAGATGTTTATTTTCAGTATTGTGAACTCTTTTGTAACTTTTCTGTTCGTATCCTTTGACCATTTGATAATTGTGTGTTACCCTTGAAAATGTATCAGTTCCTTATAAATATGAGATATTAGGTTCTCTTCTGTTATGATGATGCAATAATATAAAAAAAATCACATTTTCTATGGTGCTATATATAAGGCTTACAAGCCTTTTCCCTCGTAATATGCCTGACAGAAGCAGCATGAGAAATATTGCCTTCGTTTTACATTTGAGGCTAAATGACTTGCCCAGAGTCACAGGGCTAGTAAATATTACAGCCAAGTCTTCTGTTTCTTTAAAGAGAGTTTTGTGACTGAACCCGTACAAGTCCTGGTACTATGGTAGACTGACTCCCATATATTTCCATTTTATAACTATTTTGAAGGAGACTTCTCTTTTTGTTTTTCCTCCTGGGTTTTCCTACTGGTTTATAGAAATGCTGTTGATTTTTTTGGAAGGAGGAAGGGAGCATTATCCTACTTTGCTGGAATTATACATTTCTTTCTCAGTTACTTTCTTTGTTGATTCGTTGGGGTTTTCTAAGAGTAAAGCATCACGTCATCAGAAAATAAGGATAATTTTGTCTCCTCTTTGCTATCTTTATCCTTATATTTCTTTGGCTTGTCTTATTGCTGTTGCTACCATTTCGAGAACTGTATCAAATAACAGTGAGAAAGGGAGGCATCCTTTTTTTACTCCTGCATTTACTGAGAAATCCAGTTTTGTTTCTCTCTCGCATCATGTTAGCTTTTTTATTTCAAATCTAGGGTCCTTTCCTCTGTATCTGGAGTCCTCAGTGTCCCATAATTTACTAAGCCATTTGGGTACGTTTATGTTGTTTCTAGTTCTTTGCAATTATGTATTATACATATTTTAATATCTGTACATGTTATATATATTAATATGAATACTCTTATACATATTTAAATAGATATACATATTTAAATAGATATCTTTTTTTTTTCTGCTGATATATTCAATGTAGGTCCCTTGGTTTTTTTGTTTTATTTTGAAGTTGTAGTGTGCAGGCTGTTGTGGTCCATGCCTGTAATTGCTACACCTGGGATAGGCTGAGCCTTCGAGATCAATTGAGCTACAGTGGGCTAAGCCAATCAGATGTCCCCCTGTCGGGCACCAATATGGGGAACTCCTTGGAGCCAGGTACTATTAGGCTGCTGAAGGAGGGGAGAACCAGTTCGGGTGGAAAATAGTAGGTCAGAGTTTTCATGCCATTTGGTAGTGGGATCAGACCCATGACTGGCTTCTGAACTTTCAGCCTGAGTGAGATACAGTTAAACAAAACCAGACGCAATGTGTCATAGCGTATCGAGGTCTGTCTCTAGGTAAGTAACTAGGTTCAAGTCAAGTCATTTAACTTCTCAATGACCCAGGCATTAGACTATAAATTGTAAGAGTTACCATTTTGTCAACATGGAGGAAACTTCCCCACTAGGGATTCACTGCTCTGATATAATCTCTGGTCTAGACCCAAACCCAAAACAACACAAAACTCAGTTATAACTTCTGGTAGTATAGGCAATACTCTGATCCTCTCTGAGATGAAAGGAGACACTACTTTTTTTTTTTTTTAATGAGCTATGGCCCATGCTATGGTTTTTTTCCTTTGGGGAGAAAATTGTCTCTAAATAATTACTCTTCCTGACATTTTTCCACTCCACAGATACGCAATGAATTAGAGAAGCAGATGAATTGCAACCTGAAGGAATTCAAAGAATTCATTGACAATGAGATGCTTCTCATCCTGGGCCAGATGGACAAACCTTCCCTCATCTTTGATCACCTCTATCTGGTAAGAGGCTGAGACCCAGATTACATGTATGGCATCGTTTTTTTAAAATTATTATTATTAATTTATTTTGATTTATCAACAATCACTTACGTAAGCTTTTGAGTTTTAAATTTCTTTCTCCCTCCCTCCCCAAGATGGCGTGCAATCTGATATAGGCTATACATATACATTCCTGAAACATATTTTCACATTAGTAATGTTGTAAGGAAGAATTAGAACCAATAGGGGGAACCACAAAAAAGAGAAAACAAAACAGAAGGAAAAAAATAGCAAATAGTATGCTTTGATCTGCATTTAAACTCCACAGTTCTTTCTCTGGATGTGGATAGCATTTTCCATCATGAGACTTTTGGAGATGTCTTAGATCCTTGTATTGCTGAGAAGGGTTAAGTCTATCAATATTAGTCATTGCACAACTGTGGCTGTCACTGTGTACAACGTTCTTGTGGTTCTGCTCACTTCACTCAGCATCAGTCCATACAGGTCTTTCTAGGTTTTTCCGACATCCACCTGTTCATCATTTCTTATAGCACAATAGTATTCCATTACATTCATATACCACAACTTGTTCAGCTATTCCTCAATTGATGGGCATCCCCTCCATTTCTAATTCTTTGCTGTGGCGTCTTTTTTCAGGAACATGAATCAATCCCTGAGGGCCCAAGGGTTTGTGGCAAATCACTGAGAAAACAGCAGGCTAAGGGGATCAGTGACTTGAGAAACAAATTTTTTTCTTGTCAGGGAGAATCCCCAGTAAAGTTTTAGTTCTGGAGAGCAGTCTGTAGGTCTGTTCTCAAGGCAGTTGTTTAAAATGTGGTTCATTACTCTCAACTCTTCAACTGGTCCTCATGCTCTCTTCCACCCCTAGTAATATGTGGACTCCTTTGAGTGCCCTCTAGAGTGTTAAGGAGCTTTCAGCAAACATTAAGTGACCACTATGTTTTGTGCCCTGTGCTTTCTGTTGTGAGAGATTCAGAGATAAAGAAAACAGGCCACCTTCCATCAGAAATCATGTGATCGAGTAGGGACTGATAAAACCCTTTCGCAGATAAAAACAATACTGAATAGAATGGAACAAGTGCCTTAAGGTTTACCAAGCACTTTTCTCCCTGTCTCCCTGTGATAGTAATACAGTCTGTATTTGATCCCTATTTTACGGATAAAGAAACTCAGACTCAAAGAGATAATCTAACTTGACTAGAAGCAAGGGGATTGTCTGAGCCAGGATTTGAACCCCAATCTGGATCCAAATACAGTGCTCTTTCTGTTATACCCCCCTGCTCTGTAGTCCAGCCCCCTCATTTAAGGAAGAGGAAATTGAGGTCCAAAGACATTAAAGAATTGGGCCAAGGAAGAAGAATCTTAGAATACAAGAGCTGGGAGGAAGCTTAGGACACAAAGAGTGTCAGAACTGGGAGAGACCTTAGAACATGGAATATCAGAACTGGAATGAACCTGAGAACAGAGTGTCAGAGTTGAAAGGGGCCTTAGAACATGGAATGTCAAAACTCAGAACTGAGAGTATCAGAGCTGGGAGGGACCTTAGAACAGAGATTGTCAGAGCTGGGAGGAACCTTAGAACAGGGAATGTCAGGGCTGGGAGGGGCCTTAAAGATCATCTCCTCCATCACCTCTTTTAATAGTACAGTAAACAGGCCCAGAAAGGTCAAATGATTTGCCACAGAATTGGGCAACAGGGTTTGGGGGAATGTCCCACGTCTGATTTCTTTGCTTCTAAAGGAAATCCTCCTGCCCATTGTCTGTCTCTCCACTAGGTGGCGTTCCAGGCCGAAGGAAGGTGTTGGCCTTAACTGGGGTTTAATTACCTCGTTAGCAGGGGTTAGCGCTCTGTATCACTTTTTCCATGATCGCTCCTAACGGAATTTCAGGATTTGAGCCATTCTTTTTCCCCCACCCTTCCCGTTCCATGAAGTGAATTCTAGGTCAGAGTAGCTTAGCAGAAAAAGCAGAAGACAAAGGCAGGAGAAGTTTGATAAAGGAGAAAAAGCCCTGGTTACTTGTAAAGACCCACTTTGGCCTTCGAGAGAACAGATAATGAAACTTCTGTCTTCTCCATAGAGAGGTGGGGAGTTACAGGGACAGAGCGCTACATACACCATCAGGCAGAGACATTCTGCAGACTGCCTGCTTAACTCCTACAAGCTAGGGTTCCGTGTTTGGGGGTTGTTCTAATTGGAAATGACGGTAATATGGAAACAAAAGGCATCAATAAATTTTGACTTCTAGAATTACCGGTATTGGATTCAGAGGATCAAGTTTAAGATTCATCTATACTCTCTGTGCCTTCCTAGGAAAATCACTTCACCTTCCAAGCCTCAGTTTCCTCATTTGTAAAATAAAGATAATAATGCTTGTACTACCTGATTCACAGGGTGGTTCAATTCAGCCAACATTTATTAAGCACCTGTTGTGTGCCAGGCACTGTTTTCATGAGGACAGTCCTAGGAAAGTATATTTACATTATTACTGTAACCTTATTTTTATGTTCCTAGTAAAATATTAGCTCCTTGGGAGTGGGTGCAATTGTTTATTTTTCCTTTGTATCCCAGGCACCTTACACATCTTACACCTTATACCTTATCTATGGAGGTCATAGGCATTTAATAAATGCATGCTCAGTTATCCATCGAATTGTCCTAGCTCTGCCAGTACCTTGCCTTGTGGCCTTGGACAAGTCCTTTCCCTTCTTTCAACCTGTTTCCTCCTCTGTAAAATGAATCAGAGAATTGGAGAGCTGACCAGAACCTATTCACCATCTGGTCCAACCCATACATGAAAGAAATTCCTACTCTAACATCCATGACTCATGTCTTTGAAGGCTTTGAAGGCCCTTCCAGCTCTAAGATTCCAGGTCACGGGACTGTCTCTTTGGACTGAGAGCCAGGAGGGGTCTTAGAGGTCGCCTAGACCCTCCCCCCACCACACACACACACAAACACACACACACATTTTACAGTTGTAGAGGCCAAGACATGGAGAGGGCAAGGGTAGTAATGACCAGAGCTGGGATTTGAAGGAATTCCTCATGTTCTGTTTCCTATGCTTATCATTCCATG